ATGATAATTATTTAACAATAGCAGTAAAATAATTTCCCTGCTCCACAGACAGGAAGGCTTTTATTTTGACATGTGCATAGACAAGAAGCAGGAAATGCAGAGAACAATGTGAAAAGCAAGGCCACACCTTTGTAGTCATTCATGTGGAATTCAAAGCAATCCTTCAAAGGAGTCCTTCAGAAAGCAATAGTCGTAAGTTTTGTCAGTTCTTTGTATATTAAGCAATTAATAATAGGGTGTTTTGAGATATTATTTTGTACCTTCTTTGAAGTGCAGTTATAGGGTGTAGCTTCTGAGCTAATGATAGAAGTGTACGCTCACCCACTTCCTGCTTGTTTTTCTTTGTAGTAATATCAGTTTGCATATCTACAGTATACTTATTTCATAGTCTCCTGTGTAAGTGCCTGAATATATTTACCTGCTGATTATATGACAATCGATTAAGAGTTTTGTATTATGTGTTTTTCTAGTTTCACTCCAGTTCAATGATGTCAGTGCAAGATGATTGCTATGTTTGGAGTCATTAAAGGAGCAAGTACGCTCACTTTCCTGGCTCTTGAAAAGGAGTTTGGCTGGCTGTTTATCTATGTTCACACTCAGGGAGTTTAACACATAGAGAGAACAGTACATGTCTTTTAGACCCCATTCCCACAAAACTGCTCAAAGAAGTCCTGCCATTAATTAATTCTTCAATCTTAAATATGATCAACTTATCTCTAATAATCGGCTATGTACCACAGGCCTTCAAGGTGGCTGTAGTTAAACATTTACTTAAGCAGCTGCGCGCGCTCCCGCAGACAGTAATCACGATCACTGTCTAGCACAACACCTGGAGCTAAGGGGGCAAAACAATCGCATGAGTGCTGCTGTTTGACTGAGGAAGAATAAAGTAGTTGTGGTAAGCCAATCACATGACCACTTTAAGATGACAAAGCAACAAGGTGATATATACCAGTTTTTAAATTGTGTTGATAGGCCACGTAAAACCAGAGTCGTGATAAACAATATATACGCGTGTTATTCCTCAATAGTTTCGTCACGTTTACTGTCTAAGGACAGCGCTAGCAAGCATCTCTGCTTATGACCAAAACCCCCCCAAAAAACAGGGGAAGTTTTAGGAGTGACAGAGAGAGAGAGAGAGAGAGAGAGAGAGAGACAGCAGAAAAAGAGAGAGAGCGAATTTTGAGATGTGACAGATTTGTGACGTTTAGCGTGTTTGGCGTGTGTAGTCAATGTGTTGTAGTGTTGTGGATAGTTTTGTGTTGTGTGTCAGAACAATGAGGCGACTGCTGTCTCCAGGTAGAAACAGGAGTGATACACCTGCTGCTGTCAGACCTGCAGGTATCAGGCTGTGATGTTCTTCTTTATAGTGGACAGAAATTATTTTTTTGGAGAGGCACAAATAATTTGTGTGGCATCTTGTTGAATGCAGAACAGCTGATTGTTCTGTAAATAGTTTGAAATGGTTATTTAAAAAATCAAGGTAAAAAGGTAAATGGCTGCAAATAACTTTGTTGTTTGCAAAACTTGCGCATAGGATTTTAAAATTGACCATTTATATTTGCCTCCAAAAGTTGATTGTGTTCATCTGGACGTAGCGTTTTGTGGGAGAAATGTTTCGTCACTCATCCAGGTGACTTCTTCAGTCTCAGCTGACTGCAGGTTTCCCCAAATCTTATAAACAGTACAGTTGCATAATGACTGAAACCAGCCCACTGAAGGGACATTGGGCTGGGAGGTCAGTTCCTCAATCATAATTATGCAAATTAAGGGTACATCTTTCGCCATCTTTATGCATATTATGTAAGGTGTGGCTATATAAATATATGTACAACTCTGTGTATATATGTTTATGGACAGGCATGCAATGTAGTGACAAGAATTGACAAGAACTAATATTGCATATGAAAAATATTGCACATAGAAACTACCATGGTGAATTGCACCAGGGAAAAAAAGGCTCAGTAATTCTAGTGCTAGTTTGGTCTCAGCACAGTAGAGAGCAGCCTTGTCCATGATTTATAGACAGGGCTGCACATAAGTGGTCCGCAGGTGCGCATTCGCTGTCAAAATAAAAGATGCGCACCAGATAAGAAGTTGGAACGCGCATTTGCGTACATAAGATGTTCTGTAGAAGAACTGACATTTGTTCAGAACTTTTAAATATGTCGAAGGAGCAAGCTCCGTATGCAATTACTTTGGTGTTCCGCCACCGCAAAAGAAGCGTGTATTCCCGGAAATTCCGAGAATACACGCAATATGTGTATACCTGTTTATAGACATGTTTTGGTCTAGTGGTGTTACTTGGATTCCAGATTTGACACTTCAGGACCAGATCAATCTCTTCCAGGGATTCATTTATAACGTTTGCCTTCAACATCTGCTAATTCAGCTAAATGCTCTGACATCTACTTCCCAGTGAGCTGTACTAGCTTAACTGTTTGAGCTAACTTTAGTCTACTGTTTGTTGCTCCGGCCACCTCGGCTCTTTTTCCTCCACATCTTCTAAGATGTGGGCCAATATGTTCTTGAGCTGGTCTGCACTATTTTGGATTCTCCTAAAGCTCACGCCTGGATTTCTCCGCTATACAAGCGCTGAGCTCCTGCACCTTCGCAGCTAGCTGTCGCTCCCATCCACCCCAGACATCACTTTCCAGCCTCGCCGGAGATACATCTATCGTGGGTCCCGCAGGATTTTCCACAACTCCAGTGGAATGAAATCGTTTTGGTCTGCTACTCTCCTCCCTCGCAGGAACCCTTATCATGTTGTCAACCACCGGTCTCTAGTCCACCTGACCAGGCCGCCCACCGCAATTGGCAAAAAAGAAAATACTCCACTCAACTTTGGCCTTTTAAACATCTGTTCACTGACAAATAAGGGACCTCTCATCCAAAGCCTCCTATCTGACTGTTACATTGACTTTTTCTGTTTAACTGAAACTTGGCAACAACCTGATGACTTATATTAACTGGATAAATCTACTTCTTTTAGGTTTATTTACTTTTTGGAACTTCGCTGCTCAGATCGAAGGGATGGTCTCACAAACATTTTTCAACAGCACTTGAGAGTCCTGCCACTCAATATTGATACCTTTAGTTCCCTAGAGTGCCTTGCATGTGAGCTGACTGACACCATCATAGCTACTGTAACCCCCCCCAGCTTAACTCAGTCTTCTTCAGGGATTTTGCTAACTTACTAACCCACCTTTCATCTCTCTCCCCAAATGTTGAGAGATTTCAACATTCATATTCAAATCTTTCCGTTGCTGAAATCCCCATAACTGACCATTTCCTCCTTTCATTTAACCTCACTCTCTGCTGCTTTTTTACCAAGCCAACCCATCTCATCTCGTTCCACAACATCAAGAACACTGATGTAGACATCCTCACTAACAGATTGGATTATGTTCACATTCCAGACTTCTATTCTACTATGATAATTTGTTGTTATATCAATATAATATACACTCAACAAAAATATAAACGCAACACCTTTGTTACTGCTCCCATTCCCCATGGGATGGACGTAGAGACCTAGAATTCATTCCAGATACACAATATAACCATCCCTCCCAAACAGTGGTCACAAATCAGTCCAAATGTGTGGTAGTGGGCACATCTGCCATATTGAGATAATCCATCCCACCTCACAGGTGTGCCACATCAGGATGCTGATCTGACATCATGAGTAGTGCACAGGTGTACCTCAGACTGCCCACAACAAAAGGCCACCCTGGAATGTGCAGTTTTTTGCGCTATTGGGGGTCTGGGGACCCAGAACCGGTCAGTATCTGGTGTGACCACCATTTGCCTCATGCAGTGCAACACATCGTCGCATGGAGTCTATCAGATTGTCAATTGTGGCCTGTGGAATGTTGGTCCACTCCACTTCAATGGCTGTGCGAGGTTGTTGGATATTCGTGGGAACTGGTACACGCTGTCGTATACGCCGGTCAAGCACATCCCGAACATGCTCAATGGGTGACATGTCCGGTGAGTATGCTGGCCATGCAAGAACTGGGACATTCTCAGCTGCCATCTGCCCTGAACAATGTGAACCATGATTCATCCGTGAAGCGCACACCTCTCCAACGTGCCAGACGCCATCGAATGTGAGCATTTGATGGCAGTTTGTTACGGCGACGAGCTGGAGTCAGGTCAAGACCCCGATGAGGACGACGGGCATGCAGTTGAGCGTCCCTGAGACGGTTTCTGACAGTTTGTGCAGAAACTGTTTGGTTGTGCAAACCAATTGTTCCAGCAGCTGTCTGGGTGGCTGGTCTCAGACGATCTTGGAGGTGAACCTGCTGGATGTGGAGGTCCTGGGCTGGTGTGGTTACACGAGGTCTGCGGTTGTGAGGCCGGTTGGATGTGCTGCCATATTCTCTGAAACGCCTGTGGAGACGGCTTATGGTTGAGAAATGAACATTCAATGCACGGGTGACAGATCTGGTTGACATTCCTGCTGTCAGCATGCCAATTGCACGCTCCCTCATTGCTTGTGGCATCTGTGGCATTTTGCCGTGAGACAAAATGGGAATATGACAGTAAATACTAAATATTAAACATTATTGTGCAGCACGTAAGATCAACAGAACACAGTGTGCTTTGAGGTAGGAGCCAAAAGGGGTGTAGTTTGTGGGTGTGATCACCCGTGTGTACACCTGTGAGCATGGACGCGCTTGTTTTTTTAAAAGGTTCCTTCATGTAATGATCTGCTAGAGGGTATGGAAATGCCAGTTCTGTTAATTTCAAGGTTTCAGTGACATTTCTGCGCAGATCAGACAAAATGTCTCTTGAGGCCAAATTTATTGAGTTCTGCTAATCTATAAATCACATTCATCCTTCTAATGAAAAATGTGTGTCCTAACAATAAAGCTGAAACTGTTGACCGAGTAACTGCCTCTGAGAGTCCGGGTTGCTGTGAAAGTGGGCGTAGCCCAGTGCCTCTGACATACGTTATAAATGTTTGTCAGAGCGACATACTGCCATTTTGCTTCTCCACTGCTCTTTGGAAATCTTATGCGGCTCTGAATGTCAGATGCTTTTGCAGTTTTACTTTTGACATATCTATGCTTCCCCAGCAGAACAAGAAGATTTTTTTCTTCTGGTTCTAAATAAGTACAAAAAATAATTGCATTACAAATGTAAGTAACATGTTCATTCTTTGATTAATTGATATCATTATTATTAGTGCTCATATTTTCATGTAGCTTTCAGTATACTCTTTAGAATAATTGAGGTAATAACCATCTGATTAAAATTGCAACTTCACAGTGATGCTTGTCATGACATATTCCTCTCCTGGCGCAGTCCTCATGTGAGCCAGTTTCACTGTTGAGCTTGATGGTTTTTGAGACTTCACTTGTGGACACATTCAAAGTTTTAGCAATTTTTCTTGACTGCCTGACCTTCAGTTCTTAAAGTAATGATTAGGGGTGGGTTTTTATAATCGATTAAAATCGATTCTGGCTTGGATAACGTAAAATCGATTCATTAAAATCCTGAATCGATTTTTTAATATAAATTTATTTTGCCCGAAATGCCAGAATCTCTGGTGACATCTCACAAAATTTCAAGAACCACCAAACAGTTAAGACAGTAAATGAGAGCAGGTACAGGGATTCTGCACATAGACTTAAATACACAGCGCGACCCACAGATCAGAATCAGTTAGATGTCGCCTTTCTCACAGTCGGGGCTGAAAGCCGACAGCTCGCTGATTCTGATCTGTCGGCGGGTCGGCGCTTTGTGTTCACGCCCTTTATGCGCTGATTCTAAAGCTGTTAGTTTGATGTCTCTCCAAACAATATTGACCGAACCAGCAGCAAAAGAAGATCCAAACGCTTCACATAAACATCGTCATGAATTCACTCTGACTTTTACTGTTTTGCTTCCACCACGATGCACAGCTCTCTCTCTCTCTCTCTCTCTCTCTCTCTCTCTCTCTCTCTCTCTCTACTTCAAGAACAGTTTCCCTTTCTTCATTATTCGCTTGCTTGTTACGCACAAGTCTACTGTTGCTTACAGCGCTGTCGCTACAGCTACTTTGACACAAAGGCATCTGCTGTGATGCTCACACCTTTGATAAAGTCTTGCGTGTGTCAGCTTCCTTTTTATTGATACAAAAATATGTAAATGTACTGATCTGAATTATATTTCTGACTGTCAAAATTTCCCAGATTTAAATCGAATCGAATTGAATCGAATTAAATCGAATCGTGGATCGAATCGATTCGGGACCTTGTGAATCGGAATTGAATCGATTCTAGAAATCAGTGACGATACCCAGCCCTAGTAATGATGGACTGCCGTTTAGTGGTGGAAGGATCAATCCAAATATCGATTGTATCGATAACAAGTCAGCATCGGTATCGGATTGATACTAGCCTGGAGAGATAGGTTGTTAAGTTGTTTACATATTGTTTATATTTTTCACCAGTTGTTGTTTTTGTTGTTGAGGATTTTAATTGTAATTTTTGAATTATAGTTTCTCAACAGTAATTATTCGTTTTAATTCGTTTACTGGTTTGCGTGCACTTTTTAGCTGATTGGTTCTAACCATAATATTAATGCTAACATCATAAAATAGGGCTTTCAGCTGTGTACCAACCTAACTTCTGCACAACACAACTGTGATGGTCCGAACCCCATTAAGAAGGCAAGAAATTCCATCAATGAGTTACATCAGTTTTACTTGTCATTCTTGCTTTTCCTGTCATGCATTGTGCTTTCATCTTTATAAGGTACAAAATGTTCATGTGACATTTGTATGTGATTTGAATTTTTTGGTCTTGTTCTTTCTTTATGGAGTTATTTTTATATTATATTGATAGCCATGGCCCTTCATTGAGTTTTGTTCCCTTTCATGGCCTGTTTATTTTAGTCTGCTCTCTGTTGTCTCTCTGTGTTCCCTGTGTTTAATCAGACTGCATCTCAGTGTGTGTTTCTCATTTATTTTGGATTTATTTGTATAGTCAATGTGTGTGTTAAATGCCTTAAATGCTTATTCCTTCAACATTTTTTCTAGAAATGCTGTTATTTGTCTTCGTTTGCTCTGTGTGTAGCACCTTCCTGTATGAGTTAGATGAGTTAAAGCAGAAGTTGATAAAAGATAAAAAAAAAATCATTCATTGTCTTTTGCTTGTTCAGGTTTCACCATCCAGACTGAAAAGAAGCATCTAAGCTAAAGCAAATAATATCTCTGCGATGGGCAACAATCCAAAGATCAAACAGTTGTGGATCATTTATGTCATCACCGTCATCTATCTAATATATTACACCTACAGGTGAGTGAAATTACAGGAGTCAGCAGGAGTTGCAGCAGTGTTTAGTTGTAATCAGATCTATATTCATCCATTTAAAAACTGATAACAATTGAAAAAGCAGTGCCACCTTAATGTGTAGTAGCACACAAAACACATTAAAACCCTGTGAAGTTTAAAGTACTTTTATCTGTTTGTGATTTGACTGGTTTCCTTGCGTAAAAGTGTTGTCATGAATCGCTGCGCGGCAGGCAGGAGTTGGACCCAAAATGCAGGACTCACAGACTCAGGGGCTGAACTCAAAATCACAGCTTTATTTGCTGGCAGAGAAAAAACATACAAACTAATCTAAACTGGGAAACAACACACCAAAACTCACAGGGAGGTCCAGAACAGCATGAGGGACGACACAACACTGACTCAGAGAAACACAGGGTTTAAATACAATGGAAAGTAACGAGGGGAAAGAGACACAGAAGGAGAGCACAGCTGGGAGAAATCAGAACTGACGAGACAAGGGAGTAGTAAACTGAGCACACTCACATAAGACACAGACCTTCACAATAAAACAGGAAACTCAGACACAGGGAACCAGACAAGACGCTGAACTAAACAGACAGATTCACAAACAGACGGGGTGACACCATAGACAGACAGAGATACAGACGCAGACTCAGAGGCAGACAGAAGAGAACTCAAACAATAATAATGATCATAATAAACTAGAAAATGATAATAATAAACTTAAAGCGCTGGGTCACCGACCCAGGACCATGACAAGTGTTATGACAAAAAATCTCCTTCTCACCCCCACTCATGTTATCTACCAGAGGCCTGAGAGTTTGAAGGTCCTGTGCAGTATCTGTAGTTGTTCCTAATACTGCACAGACAGACAGCTCTGTGCAGAAACCCTAGAATCTACTGGAGCCACTCTTACAGTTTTAGGTTTACAAATGCTAATGCTTCCATTACGATGGAGAGACACATTTGAATTTATACACTTCAGATTCTCAGAGAGGCTAGAGCTTGGCTTGTCTATATAAACACACAAGTTGTGGACATCCTTCACTAAACAAAAGAACATGTTGGATTTGCTTAATTCAATAGTGGACATTAGTTGCACACAAATGTTTTGCTTTGGCAGCATCTTAAATAACTGAGTTAAATCAACACAATTTATTCATATTCAATAAATCTGTGCATTTTGTGTTGATAAAACATGATTGAAACATTTTTAGATGGAGTAAGTTGAGCTCTTGAAATATTTCAGTCCTTCACAATTTTCTTTAATTCACTGTATTCCAATATTATTCAATAACCTTCACCCCAACACTTAAATACCACATGTTGTCTTCATATTACATAATGTTCAACAAAGTCTAGATTCTGGTTAACATAAAATTTCAATGGAGTTACAACAACTTCCACTCCATCCATCCTCTTATCTTTATCAGGGTTGTTGTGGCCTATACCATGGTAAGGGGTCGCCAGTCTATCACAGGGCTAACACAGAGACATAAATATTGGGACATTGACACAATTCTAACATTTTTGGCTCCATACACAACCACAATGGATTCCAAATGAAACGAACAAGATATGCTTTAACTGCAGACTGTCAGCTTTTATTTGAGGGTATTTAAATCCAAATCAGGTGAACGGTGTAGGAATTACGACAGTTTGTATATGTGCCTCCTACTTCTTAGCAATGAGCAATTAACCTAGCTCTAACAACTGCATAATTTTTAACTGTGGGAAACCAGAAGGCCTACAGCAAACTAGCCAGACTGTGGATTTGATCTTCTTGCTGTGAGGTAACAGTACTAATTACTGCACCACCAAGCTGTTGATGCAGACTTCACAAAAGTAGGAAAGCTTGCAGAATTTTCTGTATGTTTTTGTCCTTGACAGTTAAACCACAATAAATAGCAATAGCATACACACGGTGTGTGTATAGATGTGTGCCTCTTATAACTCTGGTGATTTTCCTGTGGTTTAAAATCTTGTGTGGTCTGGTGAATTTCATGAGTGCAGGCAACTAACCACTCTTACTAGATTGTATCATGTCATCTCAACAAGAACAAATTAAGTTGTTGAATTTCATACAGATACTACATGATTTACTTACGTTCACCATAGAAACATGAAAATATTTTGTAAAAAGTACAAGTTGAACTTCCGATTTCATTTTTTGAGTGTTCAATCATTTTGGACGTGGGACAAAAAGTTGTATAAATAGATCTCCATTAACAAAACGATCCTACCTTAGCAGTTATAGTTATTTAGCCTTGAACTTTTTAATGCACTTTAACAATGGGGAAAAATGTTTTTGTAGAAAAACAGGTTTCAAAAGCAGACCATGCAGACAGACAGTATAAAGTACTATATAACATTAAAGTACTTAAAACAACACTGTGGTAGCTGCTGCTATTCTGGATGTCTTCATTACCCTGTCATTTTTTACCTCTGTAGCACAAGAATATTCTACCATTGGATTCTTTGGAAGTACAATGGAACAGTCCCAACAATTCTAGATGAGCCACATATGACTCACAACAGTAGTCCAGAACATGCTGGTAAGCTTACTGTTATTGAATACTTCTCAATGTAAAAGATTTTACATTGCATTTTATATTTTTACATTTTAAGATATTTGTTCTATATGTTCTTAAGAAATCTTTCCTCTTCCTGCTCACTCACTAAATCATCATTTCATCTTTCTACAGCAATTCTGTTGTTTTGATTTTTATTTAACCCTCTATTGTGACATTTTAAATTTTAAGTGTCTTTTTAGAATGGTTTTCTTTTTTAAAATATAAAACAATGTTTTTTTTTACTTGTTAGATATTGCTATCAATTATTATAATGTTTTTACTTATTTGTTCTTGTTTCAAATCTCACTATAATTCATGTTTTGTTTGATATATTTGATTTTTGGTACAAAATGTAATTGGTCCCACTCGTATTACTGATCATTCTTTAGATTCCTATTATCAGTGTTTTGGATGTAGTTCAGTCCAATCATTGGTGTGTTTTAGTAGATTGGCTGATCAGGCCAATCACCACAAACTATTAAAAGAGTTACGTCAGTGAGGAAACCTCAACTGTGGTGGCCGTTGCTCAGGAGATATAAACTGAAAGTTTTCTGCACATAAATGAAGAAGAAGCATCAAAAGACTAATTATGACACTTTAAAAAATTGTGTCATAATTATTAGCTCAATTTCAATAAATCTATTTGAAATCTATTCATTTGCATAAAAATACAATGCAATGCATGGTGATACAAAACTAAAATAAATAAAGATTACCTCAGTGAAAATACAGAACTGCTATGAAATATATATGACTATACATGCATTAAAATATGACTGCCAAAAGTTATATAGTTATAGTAAAAGATACTGGAAGTTATTTTAGTTAGTTTTGACCTTTACTGTAACCTAAAATTTGTAATTTAAGTTGGAGTTGGTGGGGGTCTACCAGTGTTACGGTTTGGAGGAGGACTCAAGCGCAGGACTCCGGTTCTGATGCTCACAAGAAGGATTTATTTACAATTCACCAGGTGTATATACAAGAAGGTGCGGGGGGTGCTATATACAGCTGAGTGAGTTAAGAAGGGGTCTCCAGGGAAGTCCAGGGGGAAAGCACGCGTTCTTCAGATCATCCACACACACGATCACAGGCTCACACTCCGACACTGCCACACGGGAATCACACGGGGAAAATCCAGGAAGCTCTGTAGACAGGGAGACAGGGTTAAGTACAACGCACAAAGGAAAATACTATTAACTAGACTTGCTGTAGCTTGACTTCACTAACGCGTGGTAGACAACGATCCAGCGATGAACAGCAGTCGCCTCCTGGTTTAAATGCTGATCGTCTTAATGAGACCCAGGTGTCTCATCTGTCGAGGGCGTGAACCCACAATGAGTTCTGCCCTGGCGAGAGAGAGTGAGAGAGCTGATCAGCGTGCAGCTGATCCGCCTGGCCGTGACAACCAGAGATCTCTATGGAGAAAAGCCTATGTTCAATTTTAAGTCTACAGCTTTGCAGCTGCCATTGACAATGCTCCTAATAAAGCTGTTAATATGATGACTTTGGATGTGCAGCATCTAGACCAAACATCCCTATGTGCCAAAGTTATGATATTATTATTAAACAATTTATAATAACCTTTTTTTTTTTCCACCAATGAGGTTCCCAGGGACCATACACTCAGAGACCATACGCATTTCTTGCAGCAGTTAAAGGGACAAAGACCGTTCTGATATCAGCTTATCTGGAACATCGCACAGACAAAAAGGAGGTCAGTGAAAAGATAAACGTTGCATTATTTAAACCGCTCTGTTGGTTACAATACTAAATGTAAATCTGAGAGTCAATAAAATTCAGAAAATGCTAGGATTTAACAGCAAATTGACAAAAATTGGGCGATCATGGCTCAAGAGTTGGCAGTTTGTCTTGTAATCAGAAGGTTGCCGGTTCGGGCCCCAGCTCCGACAGTCTCAGTCGTTGTGTCACTTCACCCGTTGCCTACTGGTGGTGGTCAGAGGGCCCGCTGGTGCCAGTGTCCGGCAGCCTCGCCTCTGTCAGTGCGCCCCAGGGTGGCTGTGGCTACAATGTAGCTGCCATCACCGGTGTGTGAATGGGTGGATGACTGGTGGTGTAAAGCGCTTTGGGGTCCTTAGGGACTAGTATTTGCTCCCTCTCTCATTGTATTTGCTCCCTCTAGGCACAATCTTTGAAAAATACAATATCGCCTTCCACTGTTATGCCGATGACATACAGATCTATTTTGAACTTACTGACGACCTTGCTGTGTCCCTGCACTACTTTCAAGAATGCATGCGGGAGGTCAAAGAATGGTTCCTGAGTAATTCCCTCGTTTTAAATGATAAGAAGACTGAGATTGTGGTGTTCAACAGTAAAATCCCTCGTGCCCAACTCTGTGCTGCCCTGGGTTCCTTTGCTAGTTTTTCTTGTGACTATGTCAGTAACTTGGGTGTACTGCTGGATAGCTCGCTCAAACTCGATAAGCAAGTGTCTGCTGTAGTGAGATCTAGCTTCCACCAACTGCGCCTTATCTCTAAGGCTAGGCATTATATTCCGCATGAGGACCTGGAGAAGCTTATTCACGCTTTTGTGACCTCCAGGTTGGATTATTGTAACTCCTTGTACTATGGTCTTCCCTCTTCTCTTCTTCTTAAACTGCAAACAGTCCAAAATGCAGCAGCCCGCCTTTTGACTGGTACCAGGAAATTTTGCCATATTACCCCTGTTCTAGCTAGCCTGCATTGGCTGCCCATAAAGTACCGTATTCAATTTAAAATATTACTCCTTACTTTCAAAACTATTAATAAATTAGCGCCAAGTTATCTTAGTGAACTTCTCAAACCACATACTCCTGCTAGAACACTCAGATCTGCCACTCAACTACTTCTGACCCAACCCAGATCTCGACTGAAGTCCCGGGGTGACCGTGCGTTTGCTCTGGCTGCCCCGGTACTGTGGAATACCCTTCCTCTCGACCTCCGCGCATCTGACTCCATTGCACTGTTCAAATCACGATTAAAAACCCACTTATTCAATCTTGCCTTTCCCTCTAGTTAATATTTCTTTTATGATTTTATATCATGCACTTCTATGCTCATTTAAATTCTTGTTTGCTCTGTACCTGTTGCTTTCCTATGTATTAGTGACAGTTATCTGTTTGCATATTTAGTACTTGCTTTGGTCCTATTTCTATTATCCTCCTCCTATACTCTATTTTACTTGTTAAGCACCTTGGCATACCCTTGGTTTTTAAGTGTGCTTTATAAATAAAGTTTATTATTATTATTATTATTAGTAAAGCGCTATACAAATACAGGCCATTTACTAGTGATGGTCCGCTTGAAGCTGAAGCTCCGGTGCGTGTGTCAAAAAAATCAACACACTGCTTCAGAAGCACTGTGTCGAAGCTTGATTCGTTTGGCCAGAGTCACGTGATCAGTGACGTCCGAAGCTTCATTTAGAACCTAACTGCTTCGGTATCTGATTCAATGGTTTATAAGGAAGCGAATCATTCGCAGAGTGTGAGTAATGTGAATGTCTAAGTTGTGAGATAAAATTGAGGCACAAGAAGCCAGAAGGGGACAGAGGGGGGGATGCCTCCCCTGCACCCTGGTGACACACCTTTACCCCAAGGCCCTGCATGTGTGGGTGATTGTGGTGGAGCGGGAAGAGGGAGGCAGCTGGAGATGGAGCTCCCCCTACTGCAGATTGAGTTCCTGTACAGAGGAGAGCTCCTGCAAGGTGTAACAACCTCCCCCACCAGTTGAAGAGCCCCCCAGGTGGCTTGATGCACTGGCGGCACCCTGCGCCGGGGCCGGGCCCCCATACACCCACCCGCCCACAACCCCAGCAACATACCAACCAGGACCCAAGCCCCCGAGGCCCAGCCAGGGCCCCAGCCCAGAGACAGAGCGCCCCCAGAACCTCACGCCCGTCCCGGACCCACCCAGGGGCAGCCAGGCTACCAGGTCAGTAACCCACGTCTGTCAGCACAGACCCTCCCCTAGCCCCGCTGCACGCAGCCACGAGGAAACAGTCACCTAAGAGCCAACAGAGCTCCTAATAGGCCATGACCGCTACCCCGGGTTGAGCCCCCCCAAGAAAGATGCTCCTGGGGAACCCCCCGACGCTCTAAGCCTGTCCCTACTCCCACACCAATCACAACAGCGAAGGCGGGACCAAACTATGACCCCCCCACCCCCACTAGGTGATGGAGCTAATCAAAGGAGCCCAGAGCAATTGATCTAATGTGGTGGCAGAGGCTGTATCAAGACTAATGTAATCTAATAGATAATTTCTATATTGGTTAGAATTAAGATTATTTTTATTTTTCCAGTTCATGAGGACTGTTTTCTTGGCTATGCATAGGGCAGTAAAAACCATATGGACTATATTCTTTTCTGTAGTGACATTATCTAAGCTGCCCAACAAACACACTAAAGGGGAAGTTGGAACGTTACAGTTCAGACACTTTGATAAGTCTTCACATATCTCGCGCCAAAACTTCTGCACTGGTGGACAGAACCAAAGAGCGTGGATATAATTGTCCGGTGTATTGGTTTGACAGTGTGAGCAGTTGTTGGTAGACGTAAAGCCCATCTTGAACATCCGATGACCTGTATAGTGCACTCTATGTAGTATTTTGTATTGAATTAATTGAAGACTGGGATTTCTAATTAGATGAAAGGTTTTTAAGCAAATCTGAGACCAGAAGTTTTGGTCTAAGTTAACTGATAAATCCGCTTCCCATTTTGCAATAGGAAGTGATATTGATTCATCTATTTTAGAAAGCATTCTGTATATTTTGGATAGTAATTTGGGGGTTTTAAGAGTAAGAAATTGAACCACACTTGGTGGTGTTTGTAGTTCAACTTGACCCGGTTTAAATTTCTTTTTTACTATGGATTTAATTTGTTGATATTCTAAAAATCTTTTCTTGTTGATCCCATATTGTGTAACTAGTCTGTCAAATGAAATAAATTCTGTTCCTTCTAGTATATGTTCTAAATATTTGATTCCTTTACCACTCCAATCTGAAAAGTTTATCATATTATTGTTTTGTAATATGTCAGGGTTGTTCCAGATAGGTGTACGTTTGCATGGGATTAATGAAGACTCCGTCAATTTTAGAAACTCCCACCATGCTGTCAGAGAAGAGCTGATGCTGATGCTTTTGAAGCATTCATGTCGTTGGATGTTTGAGCTGATAGATCTGAAATCTCTAGATTATTGCAAAGTGCTTGTTCTAGATCTAGCCAAGGTTCATCTAAGAGGGTATGTTTTAGCCATCCTGAGATAAACTGAAGCCTGTTGGCTAAGAAGTAGTGCTGAAAGTTAGGTAGTTCTAATCCTCCTCTATCCTTGGTCTTTTGTAGTGTTTTTAAGCTTATACGTGGGGGTTTATTTTTGCAAAGGAGCTTGGACATACATGAATCTAGAGATCTGAACCAATCTTGTGGCGGTTTAGTTGGGATCATTGAGAATAACTAATTTATTTTTGGTAAGACCATCATTTTTATAGCGGCAACCCTTCCCATGAGTGATATGGGTAGACATTTCCACCTAGCCAGATCGCCTTCTACCTTCTTTAAAAGTGGGATATGGTTTAATTTAGTTAGATCTGCAAGCTTGGGAGAAACATTAATACCTCAATATTTTATATTTCCCGATTGCAGTGGTGTAGAAGAGGAATTATGGAGGGAGCAATTAATCGGAAGGACTGTAGATTTTGACCAGTTAATTGAGTAATCTGATATTCTTGCAAAAGAGTTTATCAATTCAATCATCCCAGAGATATTGGTTTGTGAATTTTGGAGAAAGAGTAACACATCATCTGCATAAAGGCTGATTTTATGTTCCACGTTCTTGCATTTTATGCCCTTAATTACTGAATTCTGTCTAAATGCTGCTGCTAGTGGTTCAATAAAAATTGCAAACAGTGAAGGGGAGAGTGGGCATCCCTGCCTGGTGCCCCTCAAGAGACAGAAGCTGGAGGATGTCTGGTCATTTGTTCTGACACAAGCTGTTGGGGAATTATATAATATTTTTAACCAGTTAATGAAAGAGGATCCAAAACCAAATTTGTGTAAAGTTGCAAATAGAAATTTCCAGTTAACTCTGTCAAATGCTTTTTCTGCGTCTAAAGAGAATATTGTAGTTTCTAGGTTTTTACTTTATCAGTAGTCTATCAAATTAAGTAATCTACGTGTATTTGTTGATGAGTGCCTACCTTTTATGAAACCAGTTTGGTCAGGATGAATTAAGAGGGGGGTTATTTTCTCCAGTCTCTTTGAGAGAGCTTTGCAGATTATTTTAAGGTCTACATTTATAAGGGATATTGGACGATAGCTTGAGGGATATACAGGGTCTTTGCCTGGTTTTAGCAGGAGATTAATGTTTGCAGAATTCATATTTGATGGAAGTCTGCCCTTTTCTTTGATTTCCAACAACGTTCTGTAAAAAACTGGTGCTAGAATCGACCAGAATTCTTTGTAGAATTCTGCAGGAAAGCCGTCTGGACCTGGAGCCTTATTATTGGGCATACTTATCAGGGCTTCCTGGAGTTCGCCTGGTGTCAGTGGTGAATCCAGTGCCATTGCTTGAGTGTCTAATAATTTTGGAAGAAATTATTTTACCTCTCATCACAGCTTTCCCTGCTTCCCATAGAACAGAAGCTGATGTTTCGGGAGTGTCATTATAGTCCAAATATGAAGTCCACTCTTTTTTAAAATATTTAATAAAGTCTTCATCTTTAAGTAGTGATATATTAAATCTCCAGTTTTTACTTGGCGTAGTATTATTCTTGTGCATTGGTGTTAAAGATACAGGACGGTCATGTATCGGTGTGTGGCAGGCAGGAAACAGGACCCAAACGCAAACTCACGGGAAAACAGAACTGAACTCAAAATGCAGCTTTATTGCTGACAGGTGACAAACGATAGCAGTGATACAAAAGCAATACAGAACTAAACTGGGAAGAGCTAATTGTAACACATACCAGAAGACACGGGGAGACTCACACACAGCATGAGGGACGACACGACACTGACTCAGAGAAACACAGGGTTTAAATACACTGGGGAGTAACGAGGGGAATGAGACACAGAAGGAGGGCACAGCTGGGAGAAATCAGGACTGACGGGACAAGCAAAGCAGGACGCATTCACATAAGACACGGACCATCAAAGTAAAACAGGAAGTATCACACAGAGACGCGAACTTGACACAGTGGAGACAGCAACTAAGAAACACAGAGACATAAACCATAAGGCAGAGGTCTAAGAACCAAAATACACAGGGAAATACTCAGCTGGGAACACAAGAGACTAGACTAGAGGGAGTAACAAAAGACCAACCATGAGAACATAATGCACAATGCAGCGTGACAGAAAACAAGAAACTCAAACATGCAAAGACACCCAATTACACAGAACAGAGGGGACACAGAGAGACATGAAGGGCAAGGGATCAAAACTAGAAACCATAGAATAAATCGCAAACAAGTACAATAATACAAAAATCCCACAGAACTAAAAACGCTGGGTCAGGAGACCCAGGACCGTGACACAGGACCATGATCGCTGACAGCTATAGGATGAATCTCAGTGTCTGAAATGTCGTTCAGCAGTGAGCTGCTGACCAAAAAATAATCCAGACGAGAGTAGGAGTGATGGACATGTGAGGAAAAAAGTATATTTCTTACTGGTGGGGTGAAGGGAGCGCCATGCATCGCAAAGACCAAAGTCGCTCATATACTGTTTGATTATATTTGTGGACTGCCAGTTACGCTGAGTTCCCGCTGTATTGAGCCTATCCATTTCTTTATTTAGTCCAAGGTTGAGGTCGCCTCCAAGAACAAGTGTGCCATCTAAGTGTTCAGAGAGTGCACTGAAAAAACGTGAAAGAATGAGGGATCATCAACATTTGGACCATATACACTTGCAATACATAGCTTTTTATCAAGTATAGATAGTTTAATGATTAAGAATCTGCCCTCTGGATCTATAACTGTATCGAGTACTGTGAAATTAATATTTTTATGTATTAAAATTGCTACTCCCCTTTGTCTAGAATTATAACAAGCTGAGAACACATTGGGAAACTCAGGTGTTTTAAGTTCATTCGAACCTCTAAGAGGTCTGTGGGTCTCTTGAAAAAGGACAACATCTGCCTGTAGTTTTTTGAGTTGGTTAAATACTTTTAACCTCTTTTCTCTGGAGCCAGCTCCATTTATATTCCATGTAACGAACCTCAGTGCACCCATAGATGTTTGTGTATAACTAGAGATGTATGCTGTGTGCGTCGCTTAGACAGGTGGAGAGAATACATCACTTTTTCATAAATAAAGAGAAGGAGAGAGAGAAAAAATGTGTGGCGAGATGCTCCCTGAGTCTGACTATATGTGTGCATATTTACTAATCTGAGTAGGCTTGGCTTAAGTGTGTGTATCCTATACGACTGTGTGCGCTGTCTGACTGAAGTAAATGTGCTGCCGTTGAGCGCATGGTGCGTATGTGTCGAAATAAAGGATGTTTGTGGATGAGTGTCGAAGCAGGTGATCGAGGCAGTGAAAGAAAGGTGGGCAGCATAAAAACAAGAGGGGGAAAAGAGAGAGAAAAAAACGAGAAGAAAAAAAAAAGTAAACATTCCAATTAGATCACTGACGGAGAGTGACGGTGTTAATTCTGCTATGAAATCACACTTTAAGATGCGATTTGATACTGGTAAGTTAAACAGATGTTAATGCAAGTTAGTGTGAGTGGATAGGGAAATGGTGTAGCTGATTCTTATCTGGTGTGAGGTTAATACAGCCACGGAGTGATGTTGGGGTCGCGGTGGAGCTGTCCGTCCACGTACAGCCGGTCCACAGCGATGACAGTGCGGGAGCCCTTCTGGATGAAGCCGCGTCGGATTGGGAAGAGGACCCTGCGTCGTTCCAAGATGTCTTTGTGGAACTGGTCGTTCACGCTGAAGTCCGTTCCTTTTAATTCCCTGCCGCGGCTTTTCACATGTTGCTTTTGTTTCAAGTGGCCGAATTTGGCCACGATAGGACGTGGTCTCCCGGCCGTAGTCCGAATGGGGCCGAGGCGATGCACCCGATCGAAGACGATGTTCTTCACCGTGTCCTCCGGCAGCTTCAGGTGGGTTTTGATGAAGCTTTTTACCGTGGTCTCCGCGTCCTCTCCAGCGGCTTCTGGAATACCAGAAAATACCAGATTATCACGCATGCTACGAGCTTGTAGATCAATAACTGTTTCTTTAATTTTTTTATTTTCTCTATTGAGCTGGGTAACATTTTCTGTGAGACATTTCACCGACTCCCTTAGCGTGGCATTTTCAGCAGCAAGCGTTTCCACCTGCTGCTGGCTGAACTCCAGGGATTCTCGCAAGCATTTAAATTCCCGGTGAAGAATCTCCACCAAGGACAGCCTTGTGTCGAAACTGGACAATCACTTGTCGATTGACTCCAGTATGTCAGCAATATCTTTGCCGGCTGGCGATGTTGAGCCGGGGGAATCTGCCGGGCGTTGTCTTTTCGACGACGGCGTCTCAGATTTGGCCAGGGAAGCTGCACACTGGGCCTTCTTCATCACGAGATCCTGAAAGCACTGATCGATGTAATCTTGGAGAGTCTCTAAACTCTCCCCGTTGTTCTCCAGGGTGTTGGAGATTATTTAGACAAATATTGTTAGTTATAAGACAATTGATAAGTGTATTTGGTAATACTGAAGCTTAAATGAATTTGTTCAAATCTAAACTATCATTTGCTTTAATTTTCCGCCAAAATCTCCGGCGTCTGATGTCAGTTACAACATGAGTCGCTTACCTTGTCCGTCACTTCCGTCACTTACCTGTCCTTCCATCACATTTGCCTTATTTTAGATTAAACCAAGAAAAAAAAGCACTTACCAACATATTCACTTACAGGAACAAGGATATTTTCTGTCATGCACATCTACTATGCAGATGAGTAACACAACATGATTGGCTTGTATGAGTCCAATAAGGCTGTTGATTAGCACTTTGGTGGCAGTGGTTAAACATAATGCTTGTCCTGTAATTTCTCTTATATTAAACCCTCCTTCCTGCCTTTTTCTTGTTCCAGGTTTGTGCCATTGCAGTGGTGCTGCGGAGTGAGAAGGTGGCCTATCGCTGTGTCTTTCGTTGCCAGGAAAAGCAGCTTCTCTCTAATGGTGTGGCCGACATCCACACTGATCACTTTGGTTTTGCCTATGGGACAGCAAACATCATGTGCCCCCTCCCCTCAGGCTGTGAGACACCATCTTCTATTGCCGTGACCTCCGCTGATGCCAGCTCTACAAGTACAAGTACAATGTTAACCTTGCTGTGGGGCATGTTAATGTAAATGCCAGTCTGTTTGTCAATTTGGTGTTTGCTTTAAGTTGAAATATCTCAGCAATTAATGAATGGATTTCAAAAATACATCTAGTCCCAGTTCATGGTGTGCATGAGATCAATTAAATACCAAAATATCGACGTACAAAGTAAATAAATAATAAGGTAAATAATTACTTAATTTTTTAAAGGTTCTACAATAATTTTTCTAAACTTTACATTCTAAGTGAACTATTTGATGACCATTCAGGTTTACATTATGTTGACATTAGTGATTTTCTCATTTTGCGTCCTATGTCACCACCAGGTTTAGACTCCCACTCATTTTGTGAAATATCAATATCTACTCTATAGCCTGTCAGTAAAACAAAGCTTCAGGGAGTAACTGATACCTGAAACATTTTTATATGTCAGTTTGACTTTAAGATTGTTTGACCCAAAAAGTATTACTAATTGGAGTTCAGTTACAAAAATAAGATGGTAAAAGTGTATGTTTGTGTGGTCTCTTAAGATGATCCCAACCAAGAGTTTTTAGAGGTGAAGAACCAGCAGGAGAAGACAGAATCTTTTCCTTACAACTTCACCGTCTGCATCTCCACCATGTTTGATTTTACCAACGTGCTGCAGGTACAGTGACATTTGCTTTCTTGCTTTCAGAAGACAGAAAAAATAGATTTTTGAAACTCATTCTCTAAAGTATGCAGACTAAGACAGGAAGAAATAAAACCAGAAAAGGTATATTTTTCCCAGTATTCCTTACAGTTATAATAATAAAGAAACAAGACATTTCTGCCTGCCTTGCATATTAACACTTGTTGTTCAAATGTGTTGGATTGTAGCTGGTACAGAGTCTTGAGATGCTGCAGTTACTGGGAGTGAACAGAGTGGTTGTCTATAAAACCAGCTGTAGTCCTGAAACGCAACGAATACTGGACTACTACACACAAAAAGGTGGGGTATGGTATAGTTTTCTGTCTGAGTGTGTCTTTCCTTATGACCTCACATCACCAGCTAAAGGCATTTTCCCACAGTGAACACTGAGTGAAGTTGCCAAACACCCTGAACTTCCTTCCTTCAGCTAATCACAACTAATGTTTTGTGATCAAAACATACACTAGTTTACTACAGTTTCCTCTATAAATCACTCCAGTTTGTACTGGATTTGGACTTCTCCAGGCAACTTCAGGATTAGCCTGGAGTTTTCAGTACTATGATAATGGTTCATGTTTAAACAAGGAATATCAATATGGCATCATAGACAGAAAACCTAACCTTCTCAGGGGCAGATCATTTTTAGGATAAGAGATCAACAAGAGGTTAAGTGTGAAATCATTACTGACCAATCAATTCTTTTGAAAATGACATCATATTAAACATGTTAACCTGGGTCGTTTGGCTCTTGGCAGAGGTGGTCGCGTCTTTCTCCCTCATCTTTCCTGCTTGGCTTCTCTTGTCCTTGTCTAGTCTTGTCTAACTCAAAGAGACTCTCTCTGTCTTGTTCTCTAACCAAGAAATTACGGATTTGATCAATTGGTCTCTTGATGCAATTGACATCCTCTTCTCAATGAGAAGCCTGGGCTTGGGGCAGGCTGAATGGAGGGCGTTGAAGACATCTACCTATTCGGAACCATGATAACGGGTTTCTTGCTGATTGGAGCTGGCACGGCCCTGGTTTACTGACGACTAATGGAAACGGTTACAGCTGCTCAAAATCCCATAAGGCCGGCTGGATTGATGCCGTGGGTAGAACGCAATATGGATAAAATCATAGAGAAGCTTGCGACTCCGCAACGGGAAATTGATAGATCTGTGAACCAATGATGGAACTGGAATGCAGAAACCAAACCCGAACAACCACTATCTTTATGTGGCCTCCCCTAACCAGCTGGAAGCTCCAGGGCCAAAGCTGGAACAACAAATTCTCCCAGATAACAAGACGGTGTATGACTCTCTGCCCTTTCCTCCTACTTCTTCAAGATCACCTGCGTCGGCTTGGGGATTGTCGACTTTTGTTTAAAACTGGTGAAAGGGCACTCTCTCGAGTTGGACACACACACATGCACATGCACTCAGACACAGATATACAAATTCCCCCCATCTAAAGTTTTGGTCTTTGTCTGACACACATCAATAGAAGCAGCTGTATCACCTGATGTTTATTTTATTTTATTTATGTATTTATTTATTTATTTATCTAATGCTGGCTATAAACATTTTCATAACAATTGTATTGTTTTATAAAACTTGATATATAATTCTAAAACAGGATACAAATTTGTACTTATAGATCTATCAAATTTGCAAGTTTGTATTGTTTATGTGCTCTCAGACCATCAAACACCATCAGGGCTGCAGCTGAAATGAGTGAAAGTTAAAACTGTCTTACACATTTTGTCAGATTCTCCCGTGTCTTTATGTTCATGTTTCCACTGTTTATGCAAGTGAGTCATCTTGACTTGCTGTGTATTACAGAGACCTGGAACTGTTTGGTGGTCTCAGTATTAAGACTGCATGAGCTCTCACAGGATCCTTCCGTGGCCATGCTCACAAACTGGATTTATACTTAATATTGGTTTCTCTAATGTTTAATGGAAACATTAAAAATGACTAAAACTAAGTACCTAAAAGAACTGATAGTTCTCTGTGGATTTATGTATTTTTTTTTATTTTTTTGTTTCACACATGGTACAGCAGTAATTCATTTCCTATACACAACCTTCCTTTCAATTAACACAGAGCCTTTCACTTAGTCACACAGTCCAGTTCTAATATTGGAAACCTTTATGAAAACTAGCATTCATTCTTGGATCATGTTTGAGAGCAACAGATGAGAGTCTGTTTTGTCTGTTTTTAGTGCAGCCAAAACCTTAGGTTGTTTTAATGAGATCATTAAGTTTTTGCGTTGGGTTGTTTCTTAGCCATGTCACTGCTGCTGCTCCAGGTTGTTTATTACTCTAGTCTTATTCACTGAGACAAAAAAAAACAGGTAATGTTTTGTTTTCATGTGTCTGCTTCACCATAAAGATCCAGAATGCATTTCACCAGTTCAATGATTTCAGTTTGAGGTTGGAGTTGCAGTAATTGTAATGTCTAGTTTTAATTACTGACATTGAACTGCTTCCAATGTTTTTTTCTCAGGTTTACTGGAGGTGATTCCTTGGTCTCTGTCCAGATATGTGAACGTGTCTCGTGGCTGGCTGCCTGAACATGGTCCCGGTGAACTTCACTACTTTGGTCAGATTCCTGCTCTCAATGACTGCCTTTACAGATACATGTACCAGTCCAGATATGTGGCTCTACATGATATAGATGAGCTCATACTGCCCCAGAAAGTCGTCAGGTATGTGTGTGTATTTTCATGGTTTATTATGAAGATGGAAAATATGTGCAGTGATATACTAAAACATGTGCTGCAAACATACATGGAAATACAAAATATAAGACAAAACAAGAACAGTTTGTATGATTAGAGAGGTCAATGAGGTTGAAAGTCAATATTTATAATGTTTTAGTAGTCTTTAGTAATAGTTCTCCAGGCTTCTTGAAGGACATTCAAAGCTCTTCTTTGGAAGAGCTTTGAATGTCCAGTCCTTCGCAGGTCTGTTAGTGAATGGACTGCAGCGTGCGTTCCATGCCAGCATGCAAAGGTCCATAGGCACACCAAGGCACCCTTTGAACCATTTCTCATCCCTGGCAAATGTTTTTGATCATGTGCATGTTGATCTGGTGGTTCCTCTACCGCAGTCACAGGGTTTCACATACCTTTTGACCATGGTTGATGGGACCACCCGGTGAACAGAGGTGGTCCCCCTGATATCCACAACTGCGGCGGTGCTTCCGTATTTCCCTGTCTCAGGTTTTTATGTTTCATGTTCCAGGTTTCTAGTCACAGGCTTTTTGTTCCTTTATATCAGGGGTAGGCAACTACAGGCCTCGAGTGCCGGTGTCCTGGAGGTTTTAGATGTGTCCATGATCCATCACAGCTGATTTAAAGGGCTAAATGACTCCTCAGCATTTCTTGAAGTTCTCCAGAGGCCTGGTAATGAACTAATCATTGGATTCAGGTGTGTTAACCCAGGGTGCGATCTAAAACCTGCAGGACACCGGCACTCAAGGCCTGGAGTTGCCTACCCCTGCTTTATATTATTATTTTGTACCTGCTCCCATCATTAACTGATCATTAACTAATAAAACATTCTTATTGAACGATTTTATGTATTGAAAAAAAATTCGGAAACCTGACGATCTGGCTTTGACTTTTTATGCCTCATCAAGCTTTGCCTTAATCGTCAATTCTTTATCAGTCAGCATCAGACATCCAGTCATCTCAAAACCAGTTCTCTTGTTGTTCAGTCAATGTTGAACATTTTTCTTCATTTGAATTTCAGCTTATTAAAGTTAGGAATAAGTGATTTTTATTTTGAGAGTACAATAAATAAATAAAATGTGTTCTCTTATATTTCTTTTATACAACACTTTTATCAGCTATTTATCTTTTTTTTCTTTGATAGGAATGACAAATATCTTGCTTTATAAATTTGAAGTCTGCAGTATGTATATACGATGTAGAAAGGAGTAAAAACAAAGAAAAACCATTAAATAAGAAGGTGTGTCCTGTTGGTGTGTATTGATGACAATGTCAGCCAAAATTTGGATTCATGACACCAATAGTAAGTTAGTAGACTTGCCTAAACGATTCCCAGGTTAGTGAAATAACAAACAAACAAACATTAAAAGTAGAAGGTCAAGTCCAAGGTTTGGTCCTGAAATATGGGAAAATCCAAAGAAAAACTTTGAGAGATCACTTAAGATCACTTAGAGATCACTTAAAACACATTATTGAAATTGTTTTCAACTTTCCTGCTGTGGTTAGTCATCTTTTAATTGCTTGTGTGCTGTTCAAGTGGTTTTACATGTTATAACTATCTTGTTATTCTGTTGCCAGCTGGGTAGAGTTGTTGCCGCTGCTGGAGAACAAATATGGTGCCAACAAGTGCTACATGTTTGAAAATAACGTGTTCCCCATCAATATCATGTTGGCTCCTCCAGCATCCCAAAGTCTGCCACCACAGACTGACTGGAAGAATGTCACTGGTGTGAACATTTTGGCTCACCTGTACCAAGAACCAATCATTGAGGAGACTCATTACAGTAACTTCAAGATCATTGTCAACCCTCGAGCAGTGTTTTCCACAACTGTTCATGGGGTTCTGAAGTCACAGCATGGCTGCTCCTGGATTGACAGGAACATAGCACGGATGTACCACACAAGGTAAATTAGTTAAACAATTCCTCATCATTAGTTGCTACAAAAACCAGCAAAAATTGTGCTCAATCCCATGATAGTCTGTTTCCCTTTTAATGCTATTCTGCTGTGCTTCACTGGATAAACCCATTATTAAATCTGTTTGTTTACCACACTAATATTTCTTTCACCTTCCTCTCTTTATCAACAGATTCATGTTTTTGTTCCTGAGCAGTGACTTTTAATTTATTAAACGCTTAGTTCCTTTTGTTCTGAATATTGTGGATATTATTTATACATTTTACAGATTTCACCCTTGTGCATTAAGATCTATTGTTTCTTTAGACTTTCTGGGGTCAGAAAGAATTTATAATGGTAGCCAAACAAGGACACTCACCGAGTTCCAGGAGGATTTGATGAAAATTGTAAAGAATGTATTTACAGTCAAATCTGATTACAAACAACTTGGAAATTTTTCTTTATACAAAACAATTGTCTAAATAAAGATTACTTATTTATCACTGTGTTTTTACCTGTAAGATATACTTCCAACAGCATCTTTGCTAGCACGTAATTTTTAGATATTTTTATTCTGAATCTTTTGTCTCTCTTATAATGTATTAAGCACATACAAACCTGTTTCATACAATTTTTTTTGCAGATTTCCGAGACAACCCAACCTGGCAGAAGACAAGCTGATTTATGATGGCAGACTGCTGAGCTACAGCGCCCACTTCACACCAGCTGTGAACAAAGTGCTCAGAGAGACTGGATTCCTACCAGAGCACAGCACACAATAGGCTTGGTGCATAGCTAACTCCCTTTGAGAAACAGAAAATAAACAAACAAAAAAAAAACAGGGGAAGTTTTAGGAGTGACGGCGAGAGAGAGAGAGAGAGAGCGAGTTTTGAGATGTGAGAGATTCGTGACGTTTAGCGTGTTTGGAGTGTGTAGTTAATGTTGTGTCTTGTGTAGTTAGTGTGTAGTGTTGTGGATAGCTTTGTGTTGTGTGTGAGAACAATGAGGCGACTGCTGTCTCCAGGTAGAAACAGGAGTGATACACCTGCTGCTGTCAGACCTGCAGGTATCAGGCTGTGATGTTCTTCTTTATAGTGGACAGAAATTATTTCTTTTGGAGTGGCACAAATAATGTGTGTGGCATCTTATTGAATGCAGAACAGCTGATTGTTCTGTAAATAGTTTGAAATGGTTATTTAAAAAATCAAGGTAAAAGGTAAATGGATGCAAATAACTTTGTTGTTTGCAAAACTTGTGCATATGATTTTAAAATTGACAATTTATATTTACATTTAAAGTTATGAAATATGATTCATTAAACATGTTTGTGGTTGTTACAGTAAAAAAACTTTTTCTACTCTGATTTTTATGTTTTTTGTCTGATTTTAGATCAATTGTGTTAATACAGTCCGTAAAAATGAAAACAAAACTGTAAATTCAGACACGTGAGGTTGTGCTGAAAAGGATGATACCAAACGAGGCAAATAAATAGTTTTTAAAGGTGAAATGTGGAGGAAACATCAAAAGTAGTTAAAAATGGCCGATTATACCCTGGACCCCAGAGGGTTAAATGTTTTTTTTTTTAAAGTAACGCAATAGTTACTTCAAGTAATTAATTACTTTTAGAATCTTGTAACTCAGTTACTAACTCAGTTACTTTTTTGAAAAAGTAACTAGTAACGATAATTAATTACTTTTTCAAAGTAACTTGCTTTGAACACTGCTGTTCACCGGGACAGTTTTGCTTGCAGAGCTATGGACTCCTCCTCCTTCCTTTGAGTCACGGCTTCTTAAAGTTGGTTCATCAGATATGTTTTAATTTACTGCCCTCCGGCCCCGCTGGTGTTTTTATTCAAGATTTTACAGACTTTTTAGAATAATAATTATAATGTGTACTTTATCGATCCCCGTGGGGAAATTACTCTTTCTGCATTAGTCTTTTCCCATTTACTTAGTGAAGCAGTGGGCAGCCACAAATCAGACACCCGGGGAGCAGTGTGTAGGGACGGTACCTTGCTCAGGGATACCTCAGGGTAGTGGATTCGAACCCCTGACCTTCCAATCATGGGGCGACCACACTACCTACTGAGCTTGCATTATTAAACTAGAGAAGGTCTTAATGATTGGGGATTTCAACCTGCACGTGGATGATCTTAGCTGTAGCATGGCCTCTGACTTTCTATCCATTACAGACTCTTTTAATTTTATTCAGCATGTCTCTGGACCCACCCATGTTAAAGGCCACACCTTGGACCTTGTGTTTTCTCTTGGCTTAGACAAAACTAATGTCTGTGTTAAGGACACAGGTGAGTGACCATTCCTGTGTTATTTTTAATCTTAGCTTCCCTCTGTACACACCACCTTCTAATCTCATGTTCCATAAGCGGTTCATGAATCAGGATGTTGCTTTGAAGTTTTCTAATTTGTTGGACCGTTATGTGATCAGTGGCTGCACTGATGCTGATGTTGCTACTCAGTGTTTTAACAATCACTGCTTGGAGATTTTAAATTCAGTGGCACCTATGAAATCTGTCATTGCTGCCCCAAAAAGAGCTCATCCATGGATAAATGATGACATAAGGAAGGTCAAAATAATCTGTAGGAAAGTAGAACGCCTTTGGAAATCAACTAAACTCGAAGTTCACAGGCTCCACCTTAGGGAACTTTGGGTTTCCCTACATGAAACCATAAAAACAGCCAGATCAGGATAGTTTTCTCAGTTAATCTCATCAAGCAAGAGAAATTTCAAGGTACTGTTTAACTCCATAAACTCTATTGTTTCCCCCGTGGTCCACCCAGTACCCGTGACCTCCATATCTGAGAGTGATGACTTTCTGAATTTCTTTGTGGATAAAGTTGATAATGTCCGTATGAGCATTGGTTCTTCAATACTGTCTGTTTGTGTCTCTGGGCCACCTCCCCCTCATTTAATGTCAGTGTTTAACCCAATGACCATACATGACCTTTCACTCCTGCTGGATAAAATGAAAATTACCACTTGTGCAAATGACATTCTACCTGCTGGGCTGTTTAAAAATGCTCTCTCTGTCATTGTAGAGATATGCAATGCCTCTCTTTCAACAGGTGTGGTCCATAGGTTCTGTAAGCATGCTGTTGTTGAGCTGATATTAAAAAAGAGCAGTTTGGATCCAACTCAGCTTAAGAATTATAGGCCTATCTCTAAGCTCCCATTACTGTCGAAAATTCTGGAAAAAGTATTTGCAGATCAACTTACTTCTATTTTAGAAAAACATGAAATCTATGACAAATTTCAGTCAGGTTTCTGTAAAAGTCACTCAACAGAAACCACATTACTTAAAGTCTCTAGTGACATTATCATGTTACTCCGGAGCATCCTCAGTCATGGTTTTGTTGGACTTGACATCTGCCTTTGACACCATTGATATCTCTAATCAAACAGCATCTTGGTTCTCTTGGCTCATCTGTTCACCTGAGCATCAGGTACCTTGGTGTGATCTTTGATTCTGCCATGTCCCGAGAACAATACTCTCGACAGTTAATTAGGAACTGCCTTTTTCAGCTAAGAAACATCTCCAAACTTCGAACTTTGCTGTCTAAATCTGCGTTAGAAATGGTTATTCATGCTTTTATATCATCTCGCTTAGATTATTGTAACAGCCTTTTCTTTGTTTAAGCAAAAGGAATCTGGACCGTCTCCAGTCAGTCCAGAATGCTGCTGCAAGGCTTTTAACTTAGACACGAAAAAGAGAGCACATTACACCAGTTTTACATTCATTACACTGGCTTCCAGTACATTTTAGAATTCATTTTAAAATCTTGGTACTGACTTTTAAAGCTTTGAATTGTGATGCCCCTGCCTACATTTAGAACCCCACGCTCCCTCTCGCAGCCTGAGATCATCTAATCAAAGGCTCTTGGTAATCCCCCAAATACGTTTTAAAACCAGAGGAGATAGATCTTTTAGAGCGGTGGACCCCAGGTTGTGGAATGCTCTCCCTCCATCATTACGTTGCCTTGATTGTATTTATTCTTTTAAAAAGCAGCTTAAGACTCATTTATTTAGATTGGCTTTTAATTAGATTTGTGCTGTATGTTTGATTGTGCTTGGGGGGGTTGATTGTTTGTTTGTTTGTTTTTTATGTATTTCTTTTTTTATATTACTGTGAACCACTTTGTGGCTTTTATCCTGTGAAGAGTGCTATATAGATGAATTGAATTGAATTGAATTGAATAAAGATTTACCTAGCATTGCTAAGATTGATTGATTGATTGATTGATTGATTGATTGATTGATTGATTGATTGATTGATTGAATCTTTATTTTGAATATGTTGAAGAAGTTAAACAACATGAAAATAAAAAGAGACAAACGAACAAAGCAAAACAGAAGGAAAACGAGCACCCACAACTACGAATAACTTCCATGTTCAAAAAGGAGCAGGAGGAAGCATGCGCTTATTCAATCCCACCCCCTTTCCACTATCTAGTAATCAATATGTTTTTTAATGTATTAATTATATGTGTATCTATCTATATACATATACATATGTACATACACATATACATACATATACAGTGGGGCAAAAAAGTATTTAGTCAGCCACCGATTGTGCAAGTTCCCCCACTTACAATGATGACAGAGGTCAGTAATTTGCACCAGAGGTACACTTCAACTGTGAGAGACAGAATGTGAAAAAAAAATCCATGAATCCACATGGTAGGATTTGTAAAGAATTTATTCGTAAATCAGGGTGGAAAATAAGTATTTGGTCACCTCAAACAAGGAAAATCTCTGGCTCTCACAGACCTGTAACGTCTTCTGTAAGAAGCTTTTCTGTCCCCCACTCGTTACCTGTATGAATGGCACCTGTTTGAACTCATCATCTGTATAAAAGACACCTGTCCACAGCCTCAAACAGTCAGACTCCAAACTCCGCCATGGCCAAGACCAAAGAGCTTTCGAAGGACACCAGGAAAAGTATTGTAGACCTGCACCAGACTGGGAAGAGTGAATCTACAATAGGCAGCAGCTTGGTGTGAAAAAATCAACTGTGGGAGCAATCATCAAAAAATGGAAGACATACAAGACCACTGATAATCTCCCTCAATCTGGGGCTCCACGCAAGATCTCATCCCGTGGGGTCAAAATGATCATGAGAACGGTGAGCAAAGATCCCAGAACCACACGGGGGACCTGGTGAATGACCAGCAGAGAGCTGGGACCAAAGTAACAAAGGTCACCATCAGTAACACACTACAACGGCAGGGAATCAAATCCCGCAGTGCCAGACGTGTTCCGCTGCTGAAGCCAGTGCATGTCCAGGCCCGTCTGAAGTTTGCCAGAGAGCACATGGATGATACAGCAGAGGATTGGGAGAATGTCATGTGGTCAGATGAAACCAAAGTAGAACTTTTTGGTATAAACTCAACTCGTCGTGTTTGGAGGACGAAGAATACTGAGTTGCATCCCAAGAACACCATACCTACTGTGAAGCATGGGGTGGAAACATCATGCTATGGGGCTGTTTTTCTGCCAAGGGGACAGGACGACTGATCCGTGTTAAGGACAGAATGAATGGGGCCATGTATCGTGAGATTTTGAGCCAAAACCTCCTTCCATCAGTGAGAACTTTGAAGATGAAACGAGGCTGGGTCTTCCAGCATGACAATGATCCAAAACACACCACCCGGGCAACAAAGGAGTGGCTCCGTAAGAAGCATTTGAAAGTCCTGGAGTGGCCTAGCTAGTCTCCAGACCTCAACCCCATAGAAAATCTGTGGCGGGAGTTGAAAGTCCGTGTTGCTCGGCGACAGCCCCAAAACATCACTGCTCTCGAGAAGATCTGCATGGAGGAGTGGGCCAAAATACCAGCTACTGTGTGTGCAAACCTGGTAAA